GGAGAACTTCAAAATGCATTTAGGGCCAAAACTAATCAATTAAACAACATACAATTGGAAATTACAAACCTTAATCACGAAGTTGACAAAGTACTTCGAGAAAAGGGAATGTCTCAACAAATTGTTCAGCAAATGGAAGGAGAAAATGATTGGATTGCACATCAAAAGCAGTAGGTTTATTATTATTATTATTATTATTATTATTATTATTATTATTATTATTATTATTATTATTATTATTATTATAGTAAAAAAGTGGATTTTCATTAATGGATTTAAAATTTATTCTAGTCGTTTTGGTGAAGTAAATTCTCCATATGATTTTGAGAATAATAGTCCAAATGAGTGTAAAAAAATGTTACAACAATTACAAGAAAAACACAATAGTATACGAAAAAAAATCAATACTAAAGTAATGAATATGATTGATGGGTATGTTATTTTTTTTTTCAGTTAAAAAATATAAGATATTGGATTTATAAAAGGTCCAAATTTTATTATTTATAAGGGTGGAACAAGATGAAGCTACTTTAAAAAAAATGTTGACAACTGTACAAAAAGATAAGAAAAAAATTGAGAATACTATTGTTGAACTTGATAAATATAAAAATGATGCAGTATCAAAAACCTGGGAAAAAGTTAATGCGTAAGTTACAATTTTACATGTATTTATTGTGTATGTATTTTGTTTAATAATATATCATTATATAAATTTTAGTGATTTTGGGGCAATTTTCAGTGAATTGTTGCCAAACAATTTTGCAAAACTTCAACCACCAGCAAATAAAGAATTAAAAGATGGTTTAGAAGTTAAAGTACAACTTGGCTCAGTATGGAAAGAGGGTTTAAATGAATTAAGTGGTGGACAAAGGTAATGTTAATTTTTTATAATGAATCAATTAAAATATAAATGCATATATTAATTAATAAATATAAATCATTATTTTAGATCACTTATTGCATTATCATTGATTTTAGCTTTATTACAATTTAAACCAGCACCAATGTACATTCTTGATGAAGTGGATGCAGCTCTTGATTTATCACATACACAAAACATTGGACAACTGTTACGAACTAGATTTAAAGGATCGCAATTTATTGTAATATCATTAAAAGAAGAATTATTTAATAATGCTAATGTTTTGTTTATTGCAAGATTTAGAGATGGTACATCAATTGTTGAAGTAAGTGGTTTATAATAATGTTGTTATTGTTGTTGTTGTTGTGTATGCTAATTCAAATTCTTTTTTTTTAGAGAAAAACAAGAGCTTAAATAGCTCTTTGGGAAGACTGGGATACACAAGAAAAATATAAAAATAAAAAATTGAATATATATATTTATGTTTTTATATTTTATTAGCCTTTAAAGCAATTTTACTCACATCAAGTGTTTTACTTGTGTCATTTTTGACTTAATGGAAGCGAATTTGACGTTCTAAACACATCAAATGCTGCGCCAACCAGTGAAATTTTTCTATGAAAATCATTCCTTTTATGGAGCGCGATTTTTAACAATTTTTTAATCCAAATGTATTCCTTTTTTTTTTGTTAAAATGCCTAAACGGGATCTTAGTAGATGGTATATTTGAGGTTTAATAGTAAAACACCTTTTCTCTGCCCATTTTTTTTTTTAAAAATTATACCCAAATTTAAATATACCATCCCAAAAAATTTGAAAAATACCCAAAATTCAAATATACCATATGGAGCACAGAAAATAGAAACACCCCTAACTGCAAGATCTCGATTTTGAGTTAGCAACATTCTTATGTGCAATTCTTTACAAGGGTTAATTTTAACTTAGGAACTATACCAACTTTGATTAGTAAAGTTTTGAGATATTTAAATGAAGATAGCAAACCAAAAAATCAGTGCTTTACTAAAGCAGGACATTGCAGATCTACAGGGGGTCAAGTGTCACTCATATAAAATTGATGATCTTTGTGCATAATTTTATATGTAAAAAATCACTCTGGTATACTCAAACCTACCCGATTTAACCAAGATTGTTCCTTGAATTATAAAAAATCAAAATATATGGAAAGCCCTTTATTTTGACATATTTTTTGCCAGGGTAAACAAATAAGACTCGAAAAAAATCTTAATGTGAAGTTGGTCTACCAGCTCTATAAGTTCTATAACATGGGGCATACTACAACAAAACCAGACAAAATGAACATGATGACACAAATTATAGGGGTTGTTCTTTTAAAGATATAATGTTTTAATTTTTTTTCTTTCACTTAAGATATGGGTTGATGTGGTGTGCTGTTATCATAAGAGTAATTACAATTCCTTCTAAAAAATAAAATTTTGTTGTAGACTCCAAGTCATCTTGTCTTCAATATTGACATATATGAATGCAATGTTTCATCAAACTTTGTTATTTATTCAATTTGTTACCAGCGATTCATGAATAAATGTGAGAGTTGTTGATAAGCAAGAGTTGTTAGATAAGATTAAACACTTCCTGGTCATAAATATAAGATCATCGGAAATAATTGAATAAAGAAACATGAAAAAAAAATAAAAATTTTATTATCCTAACCACATTTGCTTATTAAGTAAAAATTCATCTTCATATCAAATAGTATAATATACTGAAGTTTCGCCGCATATAAATAAACATTCATTGTTTTACGAACCTTAAAAAATAAAAATGAATTCTTCGGAATTTTTAAAAAAATCTTCGCCTCGAAAATTGACTGCAATGGCAAGTTCTAACGACCTTTATGGTATAAATAAAAAATGCATCTTATGTTTAAATCTAAAATTCTAGATCATTTGGTAAATTAATTAACGAGAAAAAAAAAAATAAAACGTAGAAAATTTTACGAAACAATTCAACCTCAAACTGCTCACCAATTTGAAACATAAAAGGACATCAAAAAATATATGAAACTGAAAAGGTTTAGTTGATTTTTTTTAACAATTGAAACTTATTCTTCTGTAGTGAAAAAAAATCTAATTGATCAAAATTGACATTTAATCTCGGATAAAAATAAATAAACACAAGGAAAAGATCAAGACAAAAGATCTTTTTTTTTTAACAATCAAAATTCGCAAATAGCTTTTGATTCACATGAGGGGTTCTTCTTTGCGAAGGAACTTTTTTTTTAATTAAGCTTAGTTGATTTTTTTAACTATCAAAATTTATTCTTCACAAATTAATGGAGTTGCGTTCCCTCAACTCTAGAGTTGTAATCGAGTTGAAAACCACTATTAAAATTTCAACCCTGGGTGGACCCATGGTTGAGTATTTGAGTTCAAAAAAATAAAAAATTAAATTTTTTTTTAAACATCAAATTTTTTTTAAATATCTTTTTTTTTTTTTTAATCATATTTCTTTTTAATGCATATTCTAAGCAGCGACAACATCATAAATAATAATGGAAACAAAACCGTAGTAATTTATTTAAGCAGACTCGATTAAAAAAATTATTTGTGAATATAGGTAGATTGTACAACTCGATTAATCAACCTCAACTCAACTCAATACAACCCCAACCCTCATTTCAACTCAACTCAATTAATTCGTGAATACAGCCATAGTGATATAAACTTGAAAAAACATCTAATCGATCAAATTGACCTTTGATTTGGGATGTACAAAAAATGAAAAACAAACCGATTCACCTCTCGAATATTTTTTACTTTCTTGCTTTTTGGATTGTATTTCTTTAATTTTGATCATTTATTATTTTGTCATCAACTATGTTCATCAAGTCAGCCAGTGGGACACATACAGTGACTGGAGTGGCTGTGTGCCATGTAGAAGAAGTATCAATGGTTTCCAATCAGCTGTTTTCATTTCTGAGTGACCTTTTTGGTTCATTGCAAGCATTGTGGAAATTTGGATATAAACTCAAAAGGATGGAGAGTTAAAGTCCGGAGCCTTTATTTAATAATAATATAGTACTAGGAGCCTTTGTAATATTAATATTGAAATACGTTATTATTGTTATTTATGATGATCGACGTTGTTTTTTTTTAGAGCCATTGTTTACTATTATTAATATTAACAAGATTTAAGTTAAACGTCGCAATGAGTGAGTGGCGGCACGTGCACGAATTTATTTGTAAGTATTTTAATGTTATAATAAAACAAAAACGACGGATTGTTTTTCTTCGCAGTAGTAAATGCCAATTAACTAAATATTAATATTAATATTAATATTAAATTGCTTGTTAAACCTTTATTTTTTTTTTTAAAAAAAAAAAAATTACAAATGCAGAAAAGATTGATTTGTTCCACATAATAAAATTTTACCGCCTTATTAAATTTTGCAACCCTTCACTTCAGTATTAACTTTTTCCAATCTTTTATATTCTTCTAATGCTACTTTAGAGACCTTTAATTGAGCATACTCAAAACCGAGAATATGCAAGTTTTTTAACGACTCATTGCAACGTATATTTGTCATTCAGAAAATATGTTCTCATCAACATTCAATAACGCGGTTGGGCTTGTTTTTATATATGACGCTTCCACTAATTACACTGTCAATGGAGGGGATGGTCTTAATGAAGCACGTAGATAAAAAAAATGGATGTCATGTTTTTTTTTTTAATTAGTTATTTTTGATTTTTTTTTTTTTTAACGAAAGAATATTGTGAATTTGATCAATCAATTAACATTCCTTCATTTTATATCCATTTTATTACACTCGAATTTAGAAGGCATTTAATTCTATTTTAAGAAATTAATTTTTATAAATTAATTAAAATGTTGAACCATAAGTTTATCTATTATTATATAAATCAAAGGGACGGAAGGATATAATTCATAGTCAGATTAAGCTTTTTTTTATTGGTCCGACATCTTTTCTTTCTTAGAACTTCCATCTTTTTAAAAAAAAATTTGGCAACGCTTTAACTTTAACTATATATATACTAAGGATATTTGGCGAAATACTTTTCAGGGCGAGGAATTATTTCGTCAAATCGGTTGTTAATTTCGTTGCTTTTGACGAAACGTGACGAAATTGACGTTGACCAATTATACGACCAAATTTTCATAACCAATGATCAAAGGTATGGTCAAATATTGATTTTATATATAACAGTATAGTGATGTCACCAAAAAAAATGATTATCCTTTGTCTTATCATCATGATAAAAAAGAATTGAGAGAATAATCACCATGGTAAATATCAAACGTTACTCTACATAATGAATTGTTATATAAAATGCCATGTATAAAATCATTAAAAACCTAGGTTCTCAAAAAATGTACTTTTAGCATATGCGTCGATTTTGTTTGAACCTCAAAATTCAGTATGACGTTATTAATACCTTATAATCCATTAGTTTTGAGGTAGTGCCGTTGATTTGACGGGCTATTGAATAGTAAAATAGTTTTTTTTTTTTTGGTAGAGTAAATAAATTTTTTTAGGGTTAATCTGACCAATTACGCATACACAATAAGATATACATGTAAGCTCATTAAGTCAGATGCAACAATCAATTGTTTGAAATAAACAAATGACCGACCTATCGAGTTTAAATGTGTGTAGGGTAAGGCCCAAAAAATAAATCGGCTATATGGTAATTACGTACTACCAGCAATTTTCCCTCTCTATCCTTGTCCGAAGTTGACGCATGATGTTAATATATTGGCTGAATGTTCGCACTATATAAAACAATCAATATATGTATAGGAATCAATCAGCAAGTATCATAAATATCTGAATTGATTGGCTAAATTAATTTCGTCGATTTCGTCAAAAGATCCTTGGCGATAAATATGAATTTCGTCATGTACAATTTCGTCAACCATTCTTAATTAATTAATATATACACAACACAATCATTTGAAATTTCCTTTTTTTTCGAAAAATTCCTTTTTTAAACAAATTCTCCATGAAAAATGACCTTTTTAAGGTTAAATACGTCGCACTAAATTAAATTCATCATATTCTTTCGTTAATTAATGAAAACTTTAAATTAGACAAAAAATCCCGCGATTTTTATGAAAACTTTGAGCTTAGTAAAAAACTTCAAAATTCCGTTGAATATATATACACGGCGAGACTGTATTCAAAATCATATTAATATACTAACACTTAAATCATTTAAAGGTTGATAATAATAATGCCCGTTCCAATCCTTCTTTAGCACATAATAATAAAAGTAAGTTACATCATTTTCTAAACTTGAGTATTTAAAGTTGCATATAGTGATGTTAGCCGGCTTAGCCGGCTAAAATTTTTTCTTAACATTCATTTTACGTCCGGGATTTTAGTGCAGAATTCAATGGCATAGACATTTAGT